AGGTTCAGGAGCATAGCTCTGACTGGAGTCAAAGAAGAGACAGAAAGGAGACACCACACAACAAAAGATGCGGAGAAGACAGATAACACACAGCTTTTATAAACTCCCATAAAAAATGTATTTGCTTCTCTGAAGTGAAACTGAAAATAAGGATCTTTTCTGACAGCTTTGGAACAGGCAGAGAACGGCTGCTTTCTTTGTGCCTCTCACTCGCATCTACCAAGTCAAAGACAGAAAGGGGAAAAAACCTCACCTCAAATTGCCCTGGAGGGTCAGCTCCAGGGAAAAAGAGTAATTTGTATTCCAGGCCAAATCAATCCTTATGCTTTCCACTAAGAATACTGATTGTGATAGCTTTCCTGAGCTGGAAGTTACCCACCAGAAGCAGGAGTGATGCCACAAATGGATTGCCAAAAGCACACGCAGAAATTGGGCATCGGATTTCAGAGGTTTTCACTGTCAGACTGCTCCAGACACACACCAGTCTCATATGCGTCATCTGGTCCAGATGAGGACACCACAAACTTTGTCTTTCTCTTCTTTGTGGGGGGTGTGAGAAAGGCAGAGGGGCTCACGTTTATTAGCACTGGGCGTGGGGCTGAGTCCCATCACTGGCCTCGGCGACTTCTTGCTCTGTGCCAGGCTGCACAAGATGGTAAATCAGCCTCTGCAAACCCTTGTTCCGGACCCTTCCCTGGTTTTAAATCCTCACTCCACTATAAGTAGCTTGTCTCAATCTGCCGGCATGGAAAGTGATGCCCACTTCCAACGACCCCCCTCAAACTCATCAAGATTCCAGCGTAACCTCCGAGAGCAGAACACACACAACTCAAGCAAGATTCCTCTTAGACCCCGAAAGATAGTTTCTTGTCCTAGTTGACACAATCCATTTGTCATCCTGAGCAAGCTGCTCTGGGCCTGAAACAACTTACTTAACCTCTTCACTATTGGCTTCCAGCATTAAAACAAAAAAAATAAAAATGCTACTTCACAGGACTGTTATATTTAACATCTGTGAAATATTTAGAAGCACAGTAAAACTACTGACTTCGTCTACATCCACATTTCTCTCTATTAAGGCCCAGCATAAATCTATAAGTAGGGGAACTGGAAATATATTGTTCTGTACTCGCCTTTTTTTTTTTCCTTTTTTTTTTTTCACCCTAGTCCTCTTGCTGAAAAGACTGGGTGTGCTTAAACAAAAAGAAAAGGGTTCCACATTGGCAGGGCTTGAGCAACAGGAATTAGTTGAACCCACTGTCTTTGTATTGTCATTTACCCAATATCTCCTGATTCTGAGCAATACTGAGACAAGTCTATGGAAGACAACATAAACATGTTGTGCAGGTGAACACTTAGACATGCACACCTAAAGCTACACTTCTCAACCGTCTGCAGAAAAGTGGTAAAATTTTAAGAACTGCTGAGTAGACGATTAAAACTGCAAAGGGGAAGAACATCTCCTCACACCCTTACGGGCAGAGTAGCTGCCCCAGTTGTTCTAATTCCCATCTTAATTCCCTCTCGGTGCATTCAAAACTGCTCCTCCAGGACAGTGCCATCATCAGCGTCAAGTGAAGTTCTTGTTGGCGATAATTTCATCCACTTCTACTAGCCATCTGTCTTTCCAGCTTTGTTCTCTAGCAGTTATCATGTCATCACCTAAAGACCTCGTGAGAAGCACAGAAGAATTAATTTACTCAGTTTCTCCCTCAGTCATGTGCACTGCATTGCTTATGCAAGCATAGCCATGACACAGTTTTAGAAGGTACTTCGAAGTGACCAGACTGTGATACAATATATGGCTGAAATGACTGCTTAATGTACTCGGTCACAGCAGATCTTTATTAGGTATGGGAAAACTGCCCTTTATATTAAATACTGTGGAGACCTTCCACTGCTCGAAGCTCACCATTTACCTATACAAATGTGCTTGAAGATACCATAAAACATTTTCCGCAGACTGTGTGCATATGTGTTATCACTGGCAACAGATGCTTTGTTGAAATTCTGCGCAATATCCATTAAACAGCACAAATAAAAAACAATTGGCCACAAGAGGCTAAGCTAAGAAAACTCAAGGTTCTTCACTGGGATCACTTGAAACCTTCAAACACAATACAAAGCATGCTCGAGTTATGTTAAAATGCTGTAATCACCACATCACTTGCTCTGGATAATGAGACATCCCCTGTTCCCTAGTTCTGAAAGTACAAGCTGGTATGACAGAGGGCTCAGTCCAATAAGGGTCTTTGATGCTTAAAAGTGAGGTATTTTGGGATCTACAACTCTGGGTGAGACATGTGGCTCCCTAAACAGTGTATGAGGAGAACTGGCATGCAAAAAAAGAGATGCTGAGCATGGAATGAAGAGACACTTAAAAGAATAAAACGCTAGGCAAACTTACAAGAAAACACAGACAACAGCTTAAAATTTGTCCGTCTTCAGGAAGATGCTTCTATTTGTATTCCATGAAGGTCTGGAAACCTCTCCTGAAGATAGCTGCCTACAGTTTTCCTCTCAAGATGCTAAGAAGACTTCATCCTTCTCCCATGGCGTGAGAAGGGGATGAGCCTGCCCAGGTGGGTTACAACAAGGAAGACAGTGTTACTCAGCTGCCAGATGTTCACTGCTGTGAACAGTCCTTGACAGAGCATGGAGCAGCAGATGCTGACTGGGCAGATTTCATGACATGCTCCACATCTGCGTTGGCCCTGGTGGCGTCAGCACTTCTGTATAACATCTGTGAGGTTTGAACGACACTTGGAAAGTGGCAAAACTTTGCTCCCTCCTAGGTCTCAGCGAGGTTAAATCCTGATTTCCAGGAGAGCGTCCTCCTCACCAAGCTTGAGAGAAGCTATGGAGAAGCGCAATCCACTAGTGGTGTTCAATATCCACCACTCATGGCTACGGTTTACAAAGGAGGGGGAGATCCATTCTTTTACTTACCGCTCCTGGGGTGATGAATATACTTTCCGTACATGAGTATTATATTTAATGAATACTGAATGAAAAATATACAATTCTGGGAGCAACACAGAACCCCGAGGCTATATCTTTTTAGATCTGTACCTTAGATACGAATTAATTAAGTTTCCTCAGGGACGAGGAGAATGTTTCACTTTTAGACCCCAGTAATAATTAAGCCTAAGACAGGCACCATGCTACTGGTCCCTCGTGACTGGATTGGTGCCAGTTCTTGAATAAGACTTCAACTCTAGACATCTGCAGAACTTCAAAGTGAAAAAATAAGGTGTCATTAAAGTATAAAGGGGGGATAGCAGCAGCCGAATGTTTTTCAGGACCACAGTTTTGACTTTTGGCAACTACATTTCAGATAAGCTACTTTCAGTTTGACAAACTCTTTAGTGCCCAAAGCTGTACAGCATAAGCAACTAATTTTGAAGAACAGCGTGGCCATGCAAAATCATTTCAACTACTGATCTTTAATTAGAATTGGCATTACAAAGAATCATTTCTATTTTGTATGTGGATGCACCAAAAAAAAAAAAGTTAGGAAGCTTGAAATGTCAGTATAGGAAAGTCCTGAAAACACTTAAACTACAGTAGCTACTTTAATTGAAATGGTTACACTTTAAGTGACACAGCACTACTTATTTTATTGGTTAACGCACTAGCCCCAGAACCCCATTCAGAATTTTTAAAAGCTCCTAGTACTATCAGTTTTTCAATAAATACATATTTACTCCTTCATGCCTTCTTAAATGCAAATCGATGAAGCATACTCTGAGTTTTTCAAACATAGTGGTATAGTACTGGCCTTGAATTCAGCTAAGCGTCGCACAGCTCCACCCTTTGTCCAATGCCACCAGTGGTAAAGTATATCACATACGAAAGAAGTAATGGCAATTTAACAGCTACACACCTCACACATCTTTCTAAACACTTATCAGCTGTCAGTTAATTACATATTACTGTACACTAACGTGCTGTTGAAACTGATATTCTGTCGGTTAATAACAAGTTGGGTTTGGTGGGGGGGTGGTTGTTTCTTGGGGAGGTTTTGGTGGGGGTTTTTTTGTTCCCCCTAATATCTTAGGGGGGGATTCTTAGGACAAGAGAATCAACAGTTATTTCCTCAGCTTTTAGTCAGAGAATAATGTTGAACATAAGATTTTGGGAATACGGCAGAGCCAGCCAGAATTACAGGCTACCACCCTACCGACAAGCCTCAGTGTTCAGTTCCAGTGAATAAATAAAGCGGACAACCTGAACGCTGCCGGCCGGGCTCCGGCCAGCTGGCTCACAGCTCCTTTCACACAGCCTCTCAACAACTGCCAAGAAGCTGCGATTTAAATGGAGTTGGGGTAATTATTTTTTTTTTCTTTATTAAATAAAGATAAGCCAAATAAATAAGTGTGAGATTCGAACACTGTAGTATAAATTAAGAGGGCATAAATCACACTGATGGTCCTTTTTACAATCACCTCCTTACACCCTATCCCCAGTCACCCCTCTCCTTCCACTTTCCTGAATCACTCCACCTTGGGGAAGACAAAAAAACGTAAACCCTCCAAAAAACTTGAAACGGATTTCTGAGAGGATTCTTCGCCTTTTAGCCTTTAGGAAAGTTTGGCAGAGCCGGCGAGAGCGGAAGGCAGAGCTGGACGCGCTCAGCCTGAGGCTGCAGAGTCCCCGATGCCGCCGGACC